TGGGTCAATGACCAAGGCATCCTAACAGATCCGCGCTAACTTGCTAACGGAGATTTGCTGCGTTAATGCAGTTATGCCGTTAACGTCATTTTAACAAGATTAACGCTGACGGCACTACACATACACATTACATTAGACAATTTTCTAAAGTAATGTAGTACATTACTTAGTTATGTACAGAAGAAAGTAATTAGTTATTCTACTCATAACATTTTATAGTCTTAGCATGCTGTCTGTGCAGGTACTTGCAAAGAGCTGAAGTTGTATTAGCAGCTTGATGCATGTTTCTATCCTGGATCCACTTTACCATCGTGTTCTCCTACTTTTGTGCAATAAAAGTAATATGAAGGAATAGTGCTTTCGTAGTGCTTTAAAAGTGATTAAGTCTTAACTAAAACAATACTATTGCTTAATAGTATATAGCTTTAACTATAAAGTGATACCACTTTACTTACTGTAAATGAATGTACTTGCTTGATATTCACTGTGTACTGGTATCACAGCTGTTTATGAGGTAAAGATTTTAACATAAAATAGTTTTTAATGATTAATGATCAGAAATCAAACCTATATTAAAAAGCATTTGGGAAATGTGTTCTTGTTATTGTACATAAGCTTTTCTTTTCTCAAAACCCGCATTAACTGATCTGACTGAAAAAGATATTGTTTGATTATTTTCCAGATAAATATTATGGTCCTGTCCTGATGAGTCCTGTTCATCCTGTCACTGAGGGAATGTCTGTGAGTCTGAGCTGCACAGAGAAGACAAAAACACAAAGAACACTTTCCAGTGTGTTTTTCTATCACAATGACAAACTTATTCAAAATGATACCCGAGGGGAGCTGAAGATCTCTGCAGTGTCTAAGTCTGATGAAGGTTTCTACAAGTGTCAGTACTCAGGAAGAGAGTCAGCACAGAGCTGGATGTCAGTTAAAGGTGAGCAGGATCAAAACATTTCATCTATGTTCTTTTGTAAACCATTTTGATATTTCAGTATGATTTAGTACAGTTATAATAGAATATAGTTATGTGTTGTCCATACAGAATTTGTTGTTTTAAAGTTACCTGGTTCTACTTTTGTAATGTAGAATTTTAGTAATTGAATAATTTTTAATTCTTCTTCTTCT